TCGACATATATTAAAACGAGTAAAATATTATCATATTCCATGTCAAAAATATGTTGAATTAAATTGTTTTTATGATGAAGTTCATATCTGTTTATGCACTCGTGATTGACAAGCAAATTGTTTTGAATTTGATCACAATATGAAATATGATTGTAATGGTTCAAATTTTTGTGAACATCAAGGAAATTGTTTTCTAGATGATGATAAATGTCCGACATCAGCATTTTGCGCTTGTCCTAATTGTTATTTTGGATCAAAATGTCAATTTTCTACTAAAGGATCAACTCTATCATTGGACATCTTTTTAGGTTATCATATTCGTTCGAGTAATGGATTGAATCAACAGCAAATCATTATAAAAATTACAATAATGTTATTTATTGTTATTTTCGTTTTTGGTTCTATCAATGCTTTTCTTTCTTTTCAAACATTTCGACAAAAGCACATTCAAAATGTTGGTTGTGTTATATTTATCTCTATGCATCATCAATTATTTCTATGATAATAATTATATTCCTAGCATTGAAATTTTCCTTTCTACTTCTTATACATATTGGTTCAATTACGGATCGTACATTTTATTATATTCAATGCTTATCAATTGACTTTCTACTTCGATCTCTTCTATGTACTAATGATTGGCTTAGTGCTTTTGTTGCTATCGAAAGAGCAATGAATGTTGTCAAAGGAGTTAAATTCAATAAGACTAAGAGTAAACAACTGGCTAAATGGATGATATTGATTATTATGGTTTTCATTAGTATTACTTTCATTTATGATCCCCTTCATCGTAATTTAGTTGACGATGAAGAAGAACAACGTGTATGGTGTGTTACTAAATATTCATCATCTATGCAAACAGTTGATTGGATTATGAATATTTTTCATTTTTCACTGCCACTCTTGATTAATTTTATTTCCTCATTAGTTATTATTTTTATTCTAGCTCGTACTCGTTCAAAATCTCAGAAAACAAAGTCATATGAAGAACATTTGTTTGAACAAATTAAATATCATCAACATTTACTTATTTCACCATTTCTTCTTGTTACATTAGCTGTTTCTCGCTTAATTATATCATTTCTATCTAGTTGTATGAAATCAGCTCGAGATTCTTGGTTTTATCTTTTTGGTTATTTCATTTCATTCATTCATTCCATCGATACTGACACTTGGAATATTTATTTTACCATCCAAGATATATAAAGAAACATTCAAAAAAGTGGTCAGCAATATGTGGCAATAAAAGCCCATATGAATATTGTATGCTTCTTGTATTTGTACAATAAAATACATGGAATTATTATAAAGTATCTTGCTCAGCCACAAAGCTTCTTGAAAAATAGGGTGTGTGGGTGTGGGTATTTCCTTCATCCACACCCACACCCTAGTTCGTTTTTATTTAATTATATTACTGTATTAAATTCTTAATATAAATACAATATTATCCAGTATCTTTTTTTTGTAATAATGTACTATTCAAAAGATAAAATTTATTTTATTTGTAAGGTATGTCTCGCTCTTTAATAATATAGTCAAATTAATGACGATTGATTTCCGAATTAATCTAACCAATTTATGGAAGAAAAGAAGTACTATTTATACAATACTCATTCATTCACGCTCATATACAGAAAAAAAGGGAAAGAAAAACATAAAGAAGCTGAAATTATGCATCTTTTTCTCTAGCTACACAATAAGTAAAAAGAAGAACAAACGATCTTATTGTATTATTTTCTTCAATTATACATTTAATGTCGGCCGTCACTATAAATACTTTAGTCAATGATCGATAATTTGTTTGAGTAAGCCATCCAACTTATGTATGGCTGCATTGATCATTTCGCTATACATATTGCTGCTCAATTTCTATGCACACTCATTGGTATGTTACCGCTA